AGAACTGTAAAAACCCCAAAACAGTATACAAACATGCTAGACATGCAATGCAAAATGAGGCTCAAAAAGTGGCTATAACATGAGGTATACAAAGCATTCATCAAACAAGCAAAGACCCTTAATAAAACATGTTAAGAAGGTCAAAATAAGACTTTTTCTAGTACTGTAAAACGCCCAAAAATGGAAGCATAATGGGCTGCCAAAGCATGCAAAAAAATAGCATTCAAGGAAGATATTGAAGCAAGTGCAAGATGGGGGGCTCAAACAGGGTTGAGCCCTTAAGAAAAAGTGAAAAAGAGCTCAAAAGAAGGCCACTTTCAGTTAGGGCCGGAGCTCAAAACAATAAGCATATATGGCTAAGAAAAGATACCAAAATAAGCTCAAAAAAGAAAAAATACTACTTACCCTTGAAAGCTTGACTTTGGTTGCCTCTTGGCTTGAGTTTGTGGCTCCTCAGGCCTTGGAGAACACCTTCAAACTTCTGGAATGGAGGATGGAAGGGTGGGGGTTGGTGGTGTAGAAGAAATGGTGGTGTAGGACTTGGAGTTTTTTTGCTTGAAAGAGAGGGGATGGAGAGAGATTTTTGTATGCAAGTTTGAAGATGAAATTTTCCAACCCCCTTAACCAATGCTTGCAGCTGGTTATAAGGACCAAAAGGAGGGGGAGCATGGAGAGAAAGGGTGGGGAAAAGGACCAAGGCTTTTCCCCACAAAATATCCCCCGGATACAGATCTTTTCTGGGGGATACAGCTATACAGCTGTAAAGTGTGAATTGAGAGGATTATGGCCGGCCACCTTTTGGACTTGCAGGTGGCCGGCCGGCCACCTCCCCTAGCCGGCCGGCTAGGGGTCAAAAGGGTCAACTTGCTTTAGTGGCCGGCCACCACAAAAAGGTGGCCTCCCTGGTCCCCTCATCACAACCCTGTGGTTCGAATTTGGAAACTCTAAAACAGGAGAGAGAACAAGCTATTTTTAGGAGGGGTTCAAAACGTTCAATTGGATTTTTTGGCCGACCATAAACTTTTAGGGTCCTCCCATGTGTGTACAACACAAATATGTGGTTTGGGGTTGAAGAAAGTGGCCCCAAGGTGTTCAACATTGGCTCGGAAGTGCGAAAAACGGGTGTCGGAGGGCGAAAATGGAATATAACTGGTTGCCAAGATAATTGCTGGCCTCCCACCCTCCAGTGACCTTCCTGGTGATAAAACAGAGGCATCTGCCAAAAATGAACGAAAACCGATACAAAACGAACCCTCGGGGGCCAAAACACGCAGTTTGGGGTCCCGAAAATGAGCTGCTAAGCACCGAAAGTGGCGTTCGGCCACGAAGTGGGTTTCTCAGACCCTAGTGTCCCTCAAAAGGGAGCAAATAAGATGTATGCCAAAAATTAGAGCAAACGGAGATGGTTAGGCGGTCCCGAACCGAGGCACACGGCCAACGGTCCCGAAAAAAACCGGAAACCGGGCTCCGAAATGGGCAAAATGGCCTACGGCCACCAAATGTAGCCTACGGCCACTGAGAGATAGTCTACGGGACCTCTCCCTCCCCTCAGGAAAAGAAACAGAGAAAATCGAGTCTGGTTCGCAAACCGAGACAAGGCACAGAAGAGGGTTCGGAAGTCCGGAGGCAGGGCTTGCAGTCGAGACTTTGAAACTTTAAACGAGCACGATATGCAACATCACCAAGCGCTCAATTGGTGACGTCTAAGCTTTGAGGTCGGTCAAAAATGGGGTGTCTACACACGGTCCAATGATCTGTGCTTAACCCCTTTGTTTTCTACTTTGCAGACTTAGGTTGCCCAGGCACTCCTCTGCGCGCTCAACCGAGCTACTGAGACAATTTTTTGGACCGAACTAATGTATTCATAAATTATACAATAAATAGGGAAGTATAGGTTTCTAGTAGAGACGCTAGGTGGTCTAGCCGAATTCCGAAGGGATTATGGCATACCTGACGATGTACACCTTACCCTGGCCGAAAAAGATGCCATACCCTGGGGAAATGAAGGCTTTGTCCCCTTCACCCTTTTGTCCATAATTGAAACCGGACTACGATTTCCAGTCTAACCCTTAATTTGTGAGTTTCTTAGGCAAACCAGACTATGCCCAACCCAACTATCCACCAATTCATACCGTATAATAATGGGAATAGCCGAACTAAACCGCCAAGCCGGTCTCAACCTCGGTCTAGCCGAAATCTTTCACCAATACTCCATTGGTTCGAAGGAAGACGGCTGGGTGTACTATCTCAGAATACGTCGCCGACGTGAGAAAATAATAAAAAACACACCGGATAAAGACTTGAATGACGACGATTTTTTCTGGGTGTCTGGAAACTTTGAGGATCACCAAGCCCAGATTCCTGGCCGAAGCATCAATTGGAAAAAAGGAACACCTGGTATATTTACTTCGGTTTTCTTTGTGCTTTATAATATTTCGATTTTCAATCCTTCAGCCGAACTAACAGTTGTCTTCTTTCGTAGATTCTGCCCACCTCCATTCTCTATACGGATACCCAAATCTAGCGACCTTGCGCGCCGCACTATGGTATCCCGAACGTAGTTGGGCCAAGCTACTAAGTTCGAACCGACCTATAGATACAGCGGTCGCCGAAAAGCGAGAGTGACCGACTTTCTGCTAGAGGAGGCCCCAGAACCGGACCCAACCTTGCCAGAAATCAGACTAATCCCACTGACCGCTGAAAAAGAAATGGCCAAGAGAAACAGAGTCAGGGCCCTCTTGACCGAGACCAACAGACCCGAAGTACCGCCACCAAGCCAAACCCAACCTGCCGTTGTGGCCCTTCCTTCTCAACAGCCTTCCTCATCACGCCCATCCAAGTGCGCCCGATCTACCCCGACCGAACAGCGTCTTGTAGATGAGGACGAATCCATCCCTCCACCAATTCCACAGCCGGAGCCTTCTGACCGGGCTGGCTCTTCCAGGTGGGCACCGAAGCTGAAATTTCAGAACCGCCTTATTCAAGATACCGATTCGGTGGTTGCTAAGAAGGATCACTTGATGGCCTTCAATCTTGCAAAAAGTGTGTGCCTTCCAGCAGACATGGAACACCACCAGAATTTGACCGAGCTGAAGGCCATTCGATCGGCCACAAAGTCCATGATCCTAGTATGATGCCCCTCATCTCTAACTTTAAATTTTTTTTTCTTCTAACTTTCAGTTCCGTTTCCTCATTGATTTCTTTACATTCATTTCAGTCTCTTCAGAAGAGCCAAATTGCCCACCAAAAGTATTGGAGCACAGGAAAACGGCGAGGCAGGCCCTGGCAGAAGTTGAAGAAAAAACGACCAAGCTAAAGGAATCCCACCGAAAATCGGCCGAGCTAGAGGTTGAGGTAGCTCATCTAACCGGACTAGTTGCCTCGGCTGAAGCTGACAAACAGAAGGCGTTGGTCGTAATGAAAGACAAGTACCTTCGTGAGCTGGTCAAGCTTGAAGGGAAAAAGGACGCCGAAATAGCCGATTTGAAGAAGAAGGTGGGAGATGCCAACGCCGCAGGTTTCAAGGAGGCGGAAGGCCTCTATATTCCACAATGTGAGGGGGCGAAAGACTTATTTTTCAAGTGCGGCTGGAGAAGTGCTGTGGAGTAGCTCGGCTGTGGGCCCGAAACCGAGGTCTACAATGCTCCTCAGTATTTCATTCCGGCCTCACTAGCGGAGTATGCTGCTTCCATCCAACAACAATTTTGTAGGATTCAGATGATGAAGATGAAGAAAATGAGCAAACTGTTACACCGGTAGTCAATGAGCAAGTCAACGATCAATCAGCTCGGTTGGAGGCAACGGTTGAAGACCTGACTGTTGAGCCATCGACTGATATCGTTCTGCCAGTTGCTACTGAGACTGATCTTCCATCTGCAACCGGTGTTCAAGTTGATATTGATGCCGACCTTGAAGACCTTTTCACTTGATTCTGTACTTTTCTTTTCTTTGTTACTTTTTGCTCTTGTAACCGGGCTATGGCCCCCCCTTTGTAATTGCTTTTTGATGAATGAAAAATTCCTTTTTGTTTTGAACTCTTATTTCGGTTGATCTGTATGTTTGTGCTTGCAATGACTTTTTCATGATGTTTTCACTTCCAACTGTTATCTCGGTTTGATTTCCTGTTCGAGCTTGCCTTTTTAATAGTAGTGTGGCTGAGATACTTTATTCCGGTCTCAGCTGAGCGATCTGACTGAGCTTACTAGCCAACCACACTTTAGCCGATGTCCTTTCTTCGGCTAAAGAGTACTAAGAGTTGGTTTAATCTAGCCAACCACTCTTGTGGCCGATGTCCTTACTTCGGCTAAAGAGTACTAAGAGTTGGTTTAATCCAGCCAACCACTCTTTAGCCGATGTCCTTACTTCGGCTAAAGAGTACTATGGGTTGGTTTAATCCAGCCAACCTCTAAGTTAGTTTTTCCAGCCAACTTAGAATAAAATGTTTGGTTATTCCGACCAAACGTCCTGCAGCCTGGATCTTTATCCCGGGCTTAGGAGGGGTGTTGGTTTAATCCAGCCAACCTTTAAGTTGGTTTTTCCAGCCAACTTAGAATAAAATGTTT